ACTTTTCGGATCGAATGATGATAATGATTATTATTATTATTATTATTATTATTATTATTATTATTATTATTATTATTATTATTACACAAATGTCTCGATAATAATACTCGAACTGTTTGATTAATTATAGACAGGATAAATATACTTCAAAAAGTGAATGGAACCCGTATCGTTCATGTGATATTCATATCATTTATTTACCGACCGATATACATTTCACTTTAGCGCGGGAAAATCTTACGAATTTAAATGAACTCAAAGAAAAATTTGTTCCCCAAATGAAACGAGATAGAAAAATGTTCTTATTGAGACGATTAGATTTAACTAACGAATACGAATGTGTGTGAAAATGTGATCATTTTGAAAATTACTTTAATATAAACTTTGATGAATGATGATGAATGATGATGATGATGATGAGTGATAATGATAACGACGACGACGACGACAATGATGATGATAATGATGATGATGATGATGATGATGTTAAGAACGAATAGTTTTAACTATAGTTAACAAATTTTCTTGTGATCTGTGATTTGAACGCCCACGAGAATGCAAGGTGACCTACCCATTATGCGAACATTAAACTTTACTTTCTATTAATGATTTCGGCAACGAGACTCTACTGCCATTTTGTTTTCTTTGTGTTAAAATTGATAATCTTAATAATGATAATGAAATTGAATTGATGATACTTACTTAAATATTTTACTTCTTTGTATAGCCTCGTAATATCTGATTAATGCGTTTACAAATACGCTGTATTTGATAGTACTGGCAGCAAGAAAATCATCGGCTAAATCAGGTGCGAAAAATTTATCGACACTACGGCGTTCTTGTATAACTTGAAGTTCTCTAGCGATCATCTCGTCGTGTATCTTCATATATTTTTCTTTAGCCTTTTGAAGTCTATTATTATTATTATTATTATTAACATTATTATTTAATTGTTGAGTATTATTTTTTTCTGCTGAAATCTCCATCGGATTGATCGTTTCGTTACCGGCCAATGTACGAACGCACATTTTTCGTTTTCTTGTATTATTTTTTTTCTTTTTTTTAATTTTTTCTTTCGTAAACGACAACGACGTCTACAATGACGACGACGAGGAGGATAATGAGAACGAGGACGTTACGAGGATATATTAAATTTGAAAGAAAAATCTTTATATATTTTTATACTTGAAATTATTTCGATCGATATGTCAGACACTTTTCGAATCAAATTCTTCTTCTTCAGCACGCATATGTTGTCCTAGTCGTTCGTTAGCTCGTTTCGATATACCGAATCTGTTAACCGATTGAATCTACACGTCTATTAGCTCTCTTCCGCGTTTACCGCTGCAGAGTGCGCTGCTCTTCCACTCGCACGCCACTTTTTATATCTCCCCACCGTTACGCACTACCCGTGCAACCAATCAAAACGCTCGAACCACTCGAAAGGGATGAGAGCATCGTACGATGAACCGTCAACCGTCTTCTCGCTCAGTTTACTCTTTCCTTTGCACACGCATGGGGGATGACTTAGGTAATTCTCATGATTATTTTTTCTTTATATTTTACTTACGAAAATCCTTTAGATTCACCTTGATCGTAACCAAAGCAAATTTATAATTTTATTCTTTTCAATCGATGACATAATTTTTTTTCCCCCCCGATAAAAATTACTTTTATTTTGGAGGGTGGGAGGGAAGAGGGTTTCTTCTTCCATCGTAACAATGTATTTATTTTTATGCGTACGAAATTTGGCAACCATTCCAATATATTTTCTATACTACAAATTTTAAATGATTTTTTTTTAAGTATATATATATATATATATATATATATATATTTATAACTATGTATATATATATATATATATATATATATATATATATATATATTTATAACTATGTATATATGTATATATTTATATCCGGCAAACATATTTAGCACGCGTAGGAGTTAACGTCCTATGGTTAACGTACCCTTACCGTGTATCTATCCTCTTTTATTTTATTCTAGTTTATTAACCGTGACTGATATACTACGTGACCACTACTACATAATTATCATTATTATGACTAACCTTATTATACTTGTTACGTGTTTTATCTCTTTTTTTCTTTTGTTTTTCTTTTTATTTTATTTTATAATTTAGTTCGTTCTCATAAGGTAGCAAATTTTGGCGGCAATTTTTAACCGACCGGTTTTAACCTCCTGCGAAAAGATACGACCCTGTCTCGCCGGCGGGAATTTATTAATGCATTCGAAAGAATGAAAGAAAGAAAGAAGAAGAAAAAAAAAGAAAAGGAAACGAAAAGATAAGGGAAGATATTCGGCGCACGTTTGTTTTTTTCTCGCAGGGCACGTAGTACCAAATAGTTAAAAAAAAAAAAGAAAAAAGTACAAATGAAATACACGTACCTCTACGAAATTATGTATATTTACAAATGCACTTAAAATTTTTGTAAGTTTCTTTATCGACCGCGGGGCTACCACCCTACTACGTGAATCAATCAAATTGCTAGAATAAAAAAGAAAATTACCTTTCTTTTTTAACAAAAGAAAAAAGAAAAAGAAAAAGAAAGTATCTAACAAATGAATGCATTCGAATGTTTTTTTTTTTTATAAGTTTAAGGTTCTACTACGTGAAACAATCTAGTCACTAATTTTAAATTAAAAAAAATAAAAATAATTATAATTATAATTATTACAATTACAATTATAATAAAATATTATTAAATGTAATATTGATAGTAAATTTAATCAAAAATATTAAAAAAAAAAAATATTCAAATTATTCAAATTTAGTATGATTAAATAAATAAATAAATAATTAAGTAGAAAATATGTGTCGTTGCCGATAAATTTTTAAATTTAAATAATATTATGCATATCAAGAGAATGTGTATATATAAAGTTGCATTTAAAAATGAAAAGGGTTTAGCCGAAAATTTGTATGTTCTTTTCTTGGAAAGGCATATGCATGTTTGAGTACATTATTGGTACTCGATATTCGACGTCTTCGTGCTGTATACAGGACCTGTCCTCACACATACATATAACTTAAATATATATATATATATATACATCTATATATACTCACTTATTCGCACATACAACACACACACATAGCTATTTTAGCTGGTACATGTGTATGTTCTTGCTTCCTATCAATGTGTATGACACATAACGCGTGTGCACGCATACATTCTTATACATATATACACATGTTATGTACATACTTATATATATATACTGTTGTATGTATGTAAGTGTGTGATCAGATCAATGATTGAAAACAGGAACAAAACGTTAGAGTCTAAATATGTCTGTGTGCGTGTCTCGAGTTAAAAGCGGTCGTCTTACAAGTGTAGAAGCTATCTACGTGATCCTTTGCAATGAAAGAAGTTAAATTCCTTGACGCTTCGAAGAATGTAGCCAAACAATTCTCTTAATCTTAACTCTTGCGAGAAATTTACAGAACACATATACTTATTTATGTTATAGTATTAACGTTAATTCGTTTTAAAATGAGTAATGAACAAATATCTATTTGTAGAGTAATATTAAATAATATTCTAATATTTGATTTTTTGAAAATATCAATAATAAATTAATAATGTAATTTTTAATTGTATTCCTATTTTAATTTTATTTGAATAATTTGAATATATTATGTGTTTATTAATTTTATTCATAAATCTCTTTAATTATATTATTATATTATATATATAATTATTACTTATATAATTATATATTTATATAATTATTATATATATATATATATTATATATTATTATAATTATAATAATTAT